GTCTTCTTGGTGGCAGTGAATCCTGATATATATTTGGTATCAGTGAATCCTGTCTGATGTCTTCTTGGTGGCAGTGAATCCTGATATATATTTGGTATCAGTGAATCCTGTCTGATGTCTGATATTCTTGGTGGCAGTGAATCCTGATATATATTTGGTATCAGTGAATCCTGTCTGATGTTTTCTTGGTGGCAGTGAATCCTGATATATATTTGGTATCAGTGAATCCTGTCTGATGTTTTCTTGGTGGCAGTGAATCCTGATATATATTTGGTATCAGTGAATCCTGTCTGATGTTTTCTTGGTGGCAGTGAATCCTGATATATATTTGGTATCAGTGAATCCTGTCTGATGTCTTCTTCGCACTTGTGAATTATGTTGGGTACCTGACNTCTTGGTGAGAGTGAATGTTGTTTGGTTCCTATTGCTTGACGTGCAAGATTGGAGCAATACTTCCAGGAATAACAAACATAGCTGCTGTATGCTCTAGATTGTACTGATGCTGTTCTGCCCACAATACTGCTGTAACATGGCTGGTCCACAGGCTGACTGCATGAGCACCTGTCCATATTATTTAGGTGCAACGATATGCACTCATCCAGATCACACATTGTAACAACCTGATCCAAGTAGGTCAGCTTTCTAAAGCATGGGCTAGTCCAGCCAGTCTTACATGGCATCCCCAGTAGGGGTGAAACGGTACGGTATGTATTGCAGTACAAGGCCTTCGGTTCGGTCTGTTTCGGTTCGGTTCGGTATATGAGAACTTACTTCCAGGAAAAAAGCGGACGTCTAGAAAATAATTGCATAGATTCTTGACAAAATGATTCGATTTCTAGACATTTTAGGAAAGGTTTAAAAAGGTAAATCGCACCGAAGGCAACATACCGTGGTTCTACTAATACCTAGGTATACCATTTCACCCCTAATCACCAGGGGGAAGGTCGCGGGAAGGTCAAAAGACGTAAAAATATGGTACTTGTTGGTCCCTGCCTGGCGCTCGGCATTAATGGGTACAACAAGGACTGGTCGGCTCGGAGTCAGTATAATGTGTCTGAGTGGGGTACAGTGTTCATTCTATACTTGGTACAAAGTCAGCCCATGGCCCACCAGCCCTCAGTTATGTGTGCCATTTAAAAAATAGTGTGGGTCATGTCAAATTGCTGTGACTTGTTAGACATACAGTACTAATTACTTACTAATTTGAATTCACTTCCTGGTCCGATAATTGTCTGTGCCATTCCCTGTAAACACATTATTTGTGTGATGGGTAATACACAACGTACATCGCATGCGATTTGCCTCTTTGTCGAACGATACCCATGGGTAAAGCTGCAGCCACATATTTTGAAAAACACGTGATACATCGTCCTGGCATTTCTCCTCAGACCCATCGCGGTTGGTTACGCTCTCTGTATCGTCATCATGACAAGGTTTTTGCTTTTTCTCATCAAAAGTATAAAACTGCTACATGCAACGTGATTGGATCACTCAAAGAAACCGACCAATCGGAATCTGTTTTACAAAGCGCATTAGATTTTCTCATAACACTGATTTGTAGGCTTTGCACTGTCCGTTTGAAACAGCTTGAAAGTGATGTGCATAGTTCTTGGCATTCAAAACAGCTTGCTTCAGTGAGAGAAGGTAGCACATTTTGTTGCAGTTAAACTAAGCCTGCGTTTTAAGTTTTGCTTGAGTTGACGCTTGAAAACACACTCGTAATGCATTTCAGATTTATGTTTAATATCTCGAGTGCGCCAACACGGCCCGCCAGTATTTTTAAAGTGCGCCATATGAACTTTCAGTGCGAGAATGGCGCAAGGGCGCAGCCTAGAATGAACACTGGGGGTATTCCTGCTTCACTGTGGCATGGTATCTCAGTGAGCTAGCACTATAAAACCAGCTTAAGTCAGGGCTAGTACAAGCAGCCGAACATACACACACATGCATGCACGTCGTCATATGAGTGAAATATTCTCAAGCATGACGTTAAACCCAATTTCACCTCACCTCACCTAATCACCAGGGGATTTTAAGTATTCAGACTGATGCAAGAAGAATAAATTTCGTCTCTTGAGCAATGAAAATTCTATGGAGCATAAGTTTCATGTAGTGAAAGTAGGTTAGGATTCTGTAAATGATTTTCTGCTTTATCCTTCCATAGTATTGTCAATATCAGTTACAACAGATTACTAAAACTCTGTGTATATTCCCGTTGTTCCGCAGCTACTTTTTGTTGAGGACACTCAATCTTTGTAAGAAAAAGTCCTGTTCAGTTTGTTATTATCTGTTGGTAAAACAAACATTTAGTGTGAATGATAAACACCCATGACATTTTCCCCACAATCTATAATGAACACCTATTATCAAACATTGCGCTGTAACTGAATAGCTGGTCAATCGTCAATTATGATCATTCACTGGGATCACTGGCTTTAATAATCCCCAGAACTAACAGTCTGCAGCCACCTCCTCTCTTGGCTAGAGTTTTACATTAATGTGTACATGTGATTTGGTTTAGTCGGACCACTTCTCCATGGGTCAGTGACATTTGACATGGAGTATATGTGTGGTGCAGTAATTTGTTGCTTTTAAAAATATTGTATATTACCTTTTGTAACCAGTGACGATAGCAGTAATAAAAAAATCAATAAATAGTGTGTGTGCTTCATACAAAAATATTGTTACGGAAATATCAGTTATCCCTAAGCTCTATCTGAATCTGAGTGAGTATGGTTTTATGTCGCTTTAAGCAATATTCTAGCAATATCGTGGAGGGGGAAACCCGAAATGGGTTTCACACGTTGTACTCATATGGGGATTTGAACCCAGGTCTTCAGAGTAACAAGTGGACACTTGAACCACAAGGATCCCCCCCACCACTCCTATCTGAATCTGAGGGGCGGTGGGGTAGCCTAGTGGTTAAAGCGTTGGCTCGTCACGCCGAAGACCCGGGTTCGAATCCCCACATGGGTACATTGTGTGAAGCCCATTTCTGGTGTTCCCCGCCGTGATGTTGCTGGAATATTGCTAAAAGCGGCGTAAAACCATACTCAGTCAGTCAGTATCTGTATCTGAAGATAATATATCGTCTTGTTGGAGATGGAACTAGTTACGATACATCATCTTACTGGACTTTAAGCCATGTACCAATGAGTTGAGGAATCAATAGGACGAGGAGGAATTTTGTGCTTACATTTAGTGACTAGTGAAGTTATAAAGTTTCTATATGTGAGTTTTGTGAATGGCAATTAAGTGATTAGTAATGACTAGGCTGTGTCTTGAGACTAGTGACAGTCTGGAAAGACATGTTTTCTCTCAGTCTCATATGAAGTTAGTTTCCTTATCCATTGAGAATTCAACATGTATAGTTCGGATTACACTTTCAGAGTAAAGTACCGATTCTGGTACTTTGTTAGGTTTAGTCCCATCCAAGATTTGAACCCTAACTCTCTAATCGTCTGCACATGAAGTCAGCCATTTAACCCGCTCAGCCACTGCAGATGGAATATGTTGGAATATGGTTAATTCTTAGGTACGATTTTGATCTTCATGAATGAATAATCATTACGTGATATTTTTGTTGGGTACCTACGTGAATGTCAGCTGATCATAACCATGTTTATAAGGAGTTGAAGAACCACTCAATTGTCTTCTTTCACATGCCAGATAATGCCATTAGCATATCTTCCTTTGGTCACCAAACATTTCTCAGTGATTCCTTATTCCTCTTCTCAGATGGACCCTCCTTCATCGCAGCGTTTTGCTTTCAGCTCAGATACTTGAAGTTTTCTTTCAACATGCACTCTGCAGTGAATTATAATTTATATGTTAAATTAGGGATGTCGTCGCATGTTGTGATATCGATGTTTCAGTAAATTTTTAATGTAGATCTATTGATCACGAATATGTGAATATCAACTCAAATAATGTGATGTCTTTACATGTGGTCAGACTACCTTGGTTAAGGCTGTTGATGAGGAGGTCATATTTTATTGATACATGTTGGTTTAATGCACTTTATGAATCACCATTATGTTGAGAATCTCACCAGTGTCTTTTGACATCAAATATATCATCTGAAGTCTAAAAGTCAGTGAGATTTATAGTCAACACCTGGACTGACGACTAAAGCTTTCAGTGTCTTTAATATTCTCAAATTGGATTTAAATTTTTCCCTGTTCATGTTTTCAGGTAATGCTTGAACTAATTACTTCATCACTATGCAGTATTGTATATCAGGTCCACAATTCGAGGAGTCCAGTCATAGGCCCATCGCCAAAATGAAACCATCACTGTCAAGAGATTCCAGTTCAGGAACACCCCCCTATTAAGTTGAACACTGCATTTACTAGGGCTGTTACAATTCACTGACGTATTCACTGAATCAAACCATATCCCTTCATGAATTCAGTTTGTTATCTGCAATCACTAGAATTGAATATTCATGAAAGGGTGTATTTTCTTGAATTTGGGTGTTGTTTATCTTAGTATGATATGCGAAGTGGAATATATCGTAGTCACGCGGGATCGTAATCAACACTTTGACAGTAATATGGTCTGTGTCATTGTCATGATAATTAACAATGTCATCATGGTCAAAGCATTCACATCATTTGTGCAGGGTTATGTCCCTTGGGCACATTGGAAACCTGTGTTCGGGCACTTGTCAGCACCTTACCAAAGTGATAATTGTCATAGACGGGCTTTCCGTTTCAAACTGACATGACATGATCTATAATGAATTACTGTTTAAAGTTGCATAACACTCACTTTCTCCTTAACCTAAACGATAAGAGGTTATATGCTAAAATCGCTTAGTGGAATGACACCCAGACCACACAAAATTCTTTGTCACTTTCTAGAAGCAGGGGTCCAATACTTTGTTTATGGACTGTTGAAGATTGAACTGCTGCTTTGACATTTATGTATTCATATCTTCCTTGGTTCTGTTTTACGTGCCAGTAATTGGTGTTTGACTGTTTGTCTGTCTGCTTCAGATCCAGCTCACCGTTGAGTGGCGGTAGCGTGTTCATGGTACAACCCACATCACCAGCTGCAACTATGTGACTGATGATTAGCAGTATTTTTCAATTAAATTATGGTAAGTTTTCCTCAATGCACATTGTACATTCACTACCAAGGTGTCAGAATCCAATGCCGGTGACTTGAGTATCTCAAGCTGTGTTCTTGGTAATAGTGAGCAAAACGTTCGTAACATCATAATAAATTTCTGCAACCCCAAATGAAGTTCAATGACCGCTTCCAAATGTAAATACTTGAGTGTGTCAGTGAGTTGGGTTTTACGCCACTTTTAGTAATATTCCAGCAATATCAGGGCAGGGGACACCAGAAATGGGCTTCACATATTGTACCCATGTGGGGAATCGAACCCGGGCCTTTGGTGTGACGAGTGAATGCTTTAACCACTAGGCTACCCCACGCCCATAATACTGAAGTAATCAGTTGCACTTTTGTTGATGTTGGGAATACCTTGTTATTAAAGACTGCGATGTCAACATTCCAGAGGTATGCGAACAAGGGTATACAAGTAAGGGGTCCAGTCTCAAGGCAGATTGGGAAACCAGTGACTAAAAGTATGAGCAATTATCCTTGCCATTGGATACAGCATACTCAATCTCCGTCAAATTTGATGTTAGTTTTTGCTATCTCTAAAAGGTTCGGGGACATCCTAGTTCAGGGCCCATGAGAATGGTCTGTCTTCTAACCAGTCCGAGCATTACTTACCACATATGAAAAGTGACAACATTCATTGAATGGTTAACATGGGAATTCCACAAATCTTTTCCAGCAAAGTTATCACATGTTCTTCTGCAATGGGATAAACATATGAAACTTGGCCCTTTGTTAGACATTTCTTCAGTTTTCAAATACTGATGCAGCAAATTAATCAAATAGTCAAACTGTTTTTTGAAGCATACACTGTAATTGAAGTTGCTGGTTTGAAACTAGATGTTTAGTTTGTGAAAGCTGCCTTCTGATTGGCTAGTGTATACTTCTTATTCATATCATTGGTCAGTCAGAAACTGTGAAAGGTTGTTCTGACAAGACCTGTACCAGAATGTCTTCAGGTCCTTGTGAAGCGATAGCAAGAACTTAGATTTGGTATACTTTAGATTGCAACTATACACAGTCAGTCAGCATGGTAACGTTCTGGAGTGGCCACCAGATGATCCTTAGTTGCCTCTACAACATGGCATGCTTGGGAACAATGCTAGTGGGGACATCCGATGGGTAGTTAGCAGTGTTCACGAATGGTGTTTCAAAGTAACAGGACATTGGGTCCTGTAAGTTTCAGATGTCTGTCTGACCCATTGAAAATTCACAGGACCCATAGAATAAAATTAGACAAACATTTCAGTTTTAACATTTCTTATAACTGGCATTGAAATTATTAACAAACATAAGATTTTTAAACATCAAACAAATGTCACATGTCACATATAACAACTTCAGTCAAAGTCATTGTGAAATATACAGTCAGACACTTGGGCCGGCGGGTTGAAGACTTCTATCGGACCGTTGGCGAATCTGCCGGATTTGTCAGAGGGTCAGACACTATTCGTAAACACTGAGTTAGTATCTACATCACACGATCTAAAAAGTTCGCTGGTCATGGGCTAGAAGTGTTAATTCTATTTCGCTAATGTACAAAAAGTACAACAGAGTTGTCTACTACTATAGTAAAAGTCCACAAAGAAATGTCACCAGTCTCTATGAAATCTACTTGTGTCAGACTAACAGATTTGTTTAACACTGCGCTGGTTTGACTCATCAAAACTTGGGTTTCCTGGCCAATCAAATCCTTCTGTATTGAGTCACTGGACTAAAATTGTTTCAGGACAGCAGGGTTCCAGATAAGGGCCGTATCGGTGTATGTACTTCTGATCATGAAAAATTATCTGGAGCCCTGGGACAGTAAATGTCATTCATTGATTGTTTCCATCCATGTTCTGGAAATCTTTTCCGAAATCCTTGATAAGATCTGAGAAAGTTTTGTGGAATATGGGCTCATCAATATGACATGAGACTGGTTCGCAACACCTCTGTACTTGTGTCGGGTTGATAAGTATGAGGGTCTGTATTGATCAAGGAATGACTTGAGACATGTTCAAGAAGAATAGATGTGTATCTGGTATCCTCTGTCTTAATATTCAGCTTGCTGTTTTCAAGGGATGTTTTGCTTGGTCAAGACTGAGTTATTGCCCTTTGATGACATGACCTGGGTCACTCTCCTACCCCACAGTTACTGGCAGCACGTTGAGAAGTTGTGTGACATTTTTGATAAGCAAATATCCTAAATTGTGAGAAACAGTTTCCATTGTGGGTATTTATCCTCTGTAAGTATCAGTTGTACAGCCTCACATGGTGTCATCAAATCCTATCAGAGGGGTGCCTTTTTTGTCTGCTCATCCCATTGATGACCACATCCACATCTCATGCCAAGAATTTGTAACAATGAAAAAGATGCCTTCTGTTGTCTACTCAGGTGATTAATCCCTGACAGGCATTCCTTATGTGGGATAGGAATAATTGGAGCAGGTGTTTTATTGTACCAACAGGATGTTAAGCATAAAAAACTAGTTACAGACTTAAATTATTAACAATGGTAAGATCGAATGTCATTTTACACGAAGCAATGTATCTAACGTTGCTTTTGTGTTATTGGCAGAGATAGTCCACATATAGATTTGAGTTTTAGATTTACAAGTAGTAAGTAACCACTATGTGATGTTTCTGAAAAGCTGCTAGGCATCTCTATATAGATTATGAAGTAGACGAGAGAGACGGTGAAGCAAACCTGTATCAGCCGTTGAAGACGTTTGTCAGGCTCTGATGTACATTTAGGCTATGACATGGGTCGGTGGGGTGGCCTAGTGGTTAAAGCATTCTCTCATCGTACTCAGAACCCGGGTTTGATTCCCCACCTGGGTACAATCTGTTAGGCCCATTTCTGGTGTTTCCTGTCGTGATATTGCTGGAATAGTGCTACAATTGGCGTAATACTACACACTCACTCACTCGACCGCCTCTGTGGTGTAGTGGTTAGAGCGTTCGCCCGGAGAGACCGGAAGGTCGCGGGTTCGATCCCCGACCTCGTCATACCAAAAAGACGTTTAAATATGGTACTTGTTGGTCCCTGCCTGGCGTTCAGCATTAATGAGTACAACAAGGACTGGTCGGCTTGGAGTCAGTATAATGTGTCTGAGTGGGGTATTCATGCTTCACTGCGGCATGGTATCTCAGTGGGCTAGCACTATGAAACCAGCTTAAGTCTGGGCTAGTACAAGCAGCTGCACATACACATACACATGCATGCACGTCGTCATGTGAGCGAAATATTCTCAAGCACGACGTAAAATCCGACTCACTCACTCACTCACTCACTCACTCACTCACTCACTCACTCACTCACTCACTCACTCACTCACTCACTCACTCACTCACTCACTCACTCACTCACTCACTCACTCACTCACTCACTCACTCACTCATGCACGCATGTGACTGAAATCTTACTGAGTGTAGATTCAGGCAACATATGTCATTTTCCTTGGGGCACTTTTTATAACATGTTGTGAATAATGGCCAAAGTGAGCATCATGATTAATATGTGTTCGATTGTTTCAGATGGACTCTATTGGTGAAGGGTGATAGTGCTGAATGTGAAGGTCATCTGCTGGTCATGAGAGAGAGAGAAGTCCAGGATAATGAGGACTAAAATTGATAAGGACGTGAAGAAAAAGGACATCGTTGAGCGGGACAGGGAGGATGTAGAGAAGGCTGTCCTCCCTAAAACAGTCAAGAAAGTAAAGAAGTCGAAGAAGGTTGAGACTTCAGGGGATGGTCAGAACTGTCACCCTTCTACTGCTTCTCCTGATGTGCCAGCGCAGGCAGTTGATGGAGGTGCAGTAGAAGTCGACAACGAAGGTCCCGATGAGATAGCGGCAGCTGTGAATTCTATAACAGAATGTTTGGATTTCAATAATGCTGTGCCCGAGGTGTGTGAAGATGTACCTGCTATAGAAAACCATGTGGAATGTGACAACTGTAACCCTGAACCTGTTGTTGCAACTTCAAATCCAGTTCCTGATCAGCCTGAACCGAAGGCGGAGGAACAGGAGTGCAAAGAAAACAAACCTTTGACTCCTGAACCCCCAACAAAGGAACCAGTAGCAAGTGTGTGTTCATATGAAAGCATCATTGATGAAGTCGCTCGGGGCGATATCATCGTTAAGACACCTCCAAGGAAACCGCCTAAGAAAAGACGTAATGATGACGTGAAAACAAAGGAAAAACTTCATTTTAATGATAGTGAGAAAGTGAAAAAGAATGTGGAAAAGAAAACTTCAGTAAATGGAAATGTGAAAAGTGAAAGTGTGTCTGAGTTGCCTGGTGCGCCGCTGAAGGATGGCAGTCCCTCAGCTGTGGATCAGGCTGAACCGAAACCCTGTGAGGCAGGGGCCAAGTCTCGATCAAAGAGGACGCCAAAGAAAAGGAAGTTTCATGATGAACAAGAAGATGAGAAAACACTGCCAGTTTCAAAACCCAAAGTTACAAAGAAGCCACAGAGTTCAAAGTCTAAGGGAAACAGCTCTGCAGAAAAGACATCTGATTCTCCAGGAGAAAAGACTGTCAGTCCGAAGCCCAAGAAGTCTCCAAAAAGCAAAAGTGCGAAGGGTAAAGTCAAGGAATCTAAGGAGCCAGATGCATCAAGCAAACCCGACATTAAGGAGCCAGTGAAGAAGGCGAAAGAGAAAAAGGCAGCAAAGAAAACCAAGAAAGATGTAACCAGCAAGACAACGGAACAGTCTGTGTCAAAGGCAGCCTGTGAGCAGATGGGAAGTCCAGACAACCATGAGAATGCACAGTGTTCTAGTGACAGCGGTATTGGTGGAACTGACTCTGAGATGAAGGTTGAGAGTGCAGTCAAACCAGCAGCATCTGATGCTGCCGGTGATGCACATCAAACTACTGTTGAGAACGTCACTTCTGAGGAGCAGGAGAAAATGGATATATCTGAATTGACATTGAAATCAGAATCAGCAAATGCTGAGAGTAAAAGTGCAGCAAAACCAGAGGCTAAAAAGAAACCCAAAAGTTCCAAAGCCAAAAAGCCAAAAGAGAAGGGCAAAGAGAAGGTAAATGGTTTGACAAAGACTGACACTATAGATGAAAAGGAAATGTCAGACAAAACAAAACCACTGAAGAAGGCAAAAGCAAAGAAGAGGAAATCAGAGGAAAGTGAGAGTGCAGAGAAGTCGGCGGAGAAAGTTTCAGATGGTGAGCCATCTGCTTCTGAGAAGCAGGTGGTTAAACCTTCACCTGAAAAGAAAAGAAGAAAAGTATTGGAAATGGTGATGGTGAAGTAAAGAAAGTTGTGAAAAAGAAGAAAAAAGTTGCGAAGAAGCCATTGGCAGATGGTGAGGGTAAAGAGAATGTAGAGAACAATGGCGTTGGTGCTTCGTCTGAACTTTTGGCCAGCGTATCTGAGAATGGTACGGTAGGTGTTGGTGTTAAAAGTGATATAGGAGATGCTGGTGCGGAGAATGTGGAAGGAGCAGAGAACAATAAAGACGGTGAAGTCAAAGATAACAGTGTTGCAGCTGAGGGCGACAGTCCGGGGCCAGTACAAGTGAAAACAAATTAGTGAATTCAAAGCTTTACAAAGAAAAGAAGATTTTAGAGACTCGAGAGTGTTCTATGTGTGGTCACAAAACACGGGGGTTGGCAGCATTAACCAGACATATGAAACGTGCTCATCAAATCATAAGAAAACCACCCAAATTTAAGTGTGATAGATGTGATTTTGATGCTGCCAAACGGGTTGTGTTTGCTAAACACATGTTGCTTCATGATGTCATAATGTGTTTTAAATGTCCATTTGTTTGTACGACACAGGAGGCACTAGAGGAACACGTCACGGAGGAGCATAAAAACAAGGGTGACCTTAAGTTGTGTCGGCTGTGTTCGCGATATATACGATGTCCCGAAGGGGGGAGGACACTCTGGAGAAACACATGGAGGAGTGCAAGGGTAAAGTGCCGCTTGTTTGTAAGGAGTGCAGCAAAGAGTTTAAGTATGAATCAGGACTCAAGGTTCACATAAGTACACATTTCCCTGATCAACCCAAACTTTATACGTGTGAACTGTGTAGCTACCAGTCCAATTACAAGGCGAACTTACACAAACATATCCAGAACATTCACCAGGAGCGGCAGAAGACAATCAAATGTCGGGAATGTGATAAGATGTTTTATAAAGAGGAGCACATGAAGCGCCACTTACGTCTTCACGCTGAAAGTAGGCCGTTCCAGTGCGAGAAATGTGAGAAAGCATTCAAGACAGTGAATGCGATGAGGTGTCACATGGAAAGCCACAACACTGGAAGGCCATTTAAGTGTGACATTGATGGCTGCAGTAAGACTTTCCGTACAGCCAAATTCCTCAAAAACCATGCTGAGGAGTTGCACCAGCTTGGGGAGAAGAAGTATCACTGCTCGGCCGAGGGGTGCAGTTTCTCATTCTTCAAGAAAAGTCATCTGAAGCGCCATGAAATCACACATACAGGTTAGTCAGACAAGGAGAAGTGTGTTAAACTGTTGACACTTTGTTTCTCCGTGGGGTAAACTGCCAACTGTTTGCTCTCGGTGTTTACTGTGGTCAAATGGCAGGCTGGTTAAGTCTAGGTTTTACGCGGTAATATGCAATCTATTGTTCACTCTTGCAGGCATTAACATGGTGAGGAAGGTCACAAGTAATATCTGAGAGCCTTTTTGGATTGAAAGTAGGGATTGATATTAGATTGAATCAAAACAGAACTGACATGTTAACAGGATAAATGCAAAATCGGCTTTTTTTTGCCACAGCATTTTCTGTGCATCTTAACTGAGTATCTTTTTCACGGGACTCCTAGATATACAGAACAAGACAAGACCAAAACCCCCGACGATTGGTACATGATTGTGAACACACTTGTTGAGAGTATAACACAGGTATTTTGAAGGGGTGGGTTTGTAGAAACTAATTCTGTATTGTGGCTTTGGATGAAACTGGTATTGGTGATGACTACTTTTGACAGGGTGAAAAACAAATACTGCTGACATCTGTTTTGTAATCGGGTAAATTAGGTGGTTGATTTTGAATATTACTGGTCTTGTATGTACAGGAAATGCATAATCGACATACTGATATCATGACGTACAGGAAATGCATAATCGACATACTGATATCATGACGTACAGGAAATGCATAATCGACATACTGATATCATGGACGCATTATGAAAACGCATACAGGAAATGCATAATCGACATACTGGTATAATGTGGTACAGGAAATGCATAATCGACATACTGATATCATGACGTGGTACAGGAAATGCATAATCGACATACTGGTATCATGACGTGGTACAGGAAATGCATAATCGACATACTGATATCATGACGAAATGCAGGAAATGACATAATGATATCATGGCGATACAGGAAATGCATAATCGACATACATAATCGACATACTGATATCATGACGTACAGGAAATGCATAATCGACATACTGATATGACGTACAGGAAATGCATAATCGACATACTGGTATCATGACGTACAGGAATTGCATAATCGACATACTGGTATCATGACGTGGTACAGGAAATGCATAATCGACATACTGATATCATGACGTACAGGAAATGCATAATCGACATACTGGTATCATGGTGTGGTGCAGGAAATGCATAATCGGCATACTGGTATCATGACAGGAAATGCATAATCGACATACTGATATTCTGACGTGGTACAGAAAGTGCATAATCGGCATACTGGTATCATGACGTGGTACAGGAAATGTATAATAGGCATACTGATATCATGACGTGGTACAGGCATACTAGTATCCTGACACAAATCATCGACACACTAGAATCCTAAATGGTTCAGGAAATGTATAAAAAAACTGTATTTTCTCATTTATCTCTACAATTTATGTAGTTCATATGTGAAAGTGTGCAATATCTGTTAAACTAAGTTCGGCCTAACTACAGTCTCAGTGGTAGAGAGATTGGAAACGGAGAAAAAGGACTTTACTGAGGGGAAATTAGTGCAGAAATGAGCAATGCGTTTTTTTTCGAAGTCCAAAAAGACTTATTTGGAACAGACCATGACTTTATGCAAATTAGTGTGCGACGATATTGTATTACAAAGGACACTTTTTAAATTCCCAATTTGAAATTAGACGTAGATTCATTATAAACGATAGCTGATGTAAAAAATAATAACATTTATGCCGAAACTATTAAGGATGTAGCTACCATGCAGTCTCACTGTCACTATAAAAAGAAACAGATAGGAGGGGTCGCCTCAAAAGCAAAACCTGGGGTCGGGCTTGGGGATAGAGATATCAGCTAAGATGAGATAATCCTTTAGGGCAATTATGCTGGGGAGGTACACGGCACGCCAAAACAATTTACAAATAATATCCAGTCCTTTCGATCTTTGGGTGGTCATGCCACCTATATACTAGGGTATGTTTTCGGGTATCATACTCTTACATATCTCAACATAAACTTTATGAAAGAAAGACACGTAAGATGTTAATCAGTAGATGAGACATAGTCAACACACATGAAAAAGCACAAAATATCTTTGAGATGACCCTTTGTGCCTGTGGGCAGCACGTGCATTTCATGCCAGGTGAGTCGACGGTCTGTCGGCATACCTGGCTGAGCGACCTAATTGCCATCTATAGTCTGATCTATTGTTTTCAGCAGCTATTCGTATTTTTTCTAAGTTTTCCCCGATTTTACGAGTAAACATGCTTTTCTGGATATCGTATTACGCATCCCACTGAACGCCCAGTTAGGCCGAAGTGGGTTATTTCGACATATGCTATTTGCAATTGTGTAAATTTTAGGGATACAGAGTAAGAGCCTAAAAACAGTTTTTTTCTATTTCCGACAGTACTATAGTCATGTAAATGCAGTGCCTGATGCGAAACCAGTTAATGCTGAGTGTGGTAATATTTAATCATTCATAGATTTTATGATTGACTGAACATCCAACTTGAATAATGCATATCAAATGACATTGTAAACAAAATTGGATTAGGTTACTTTACAATAGATGACTCGATCATTTGATGATGTAGACGATAGGGATGTCACATTACAGGTGCCTAATGATACGATACGTATCTCGATACTGAGGCTTGAGATGTATCGCGATACTGCATTTCTGCCATTTTGTGTTACAAGCTGCCATTACCTGTGTCATCAGTCCCCAAATACCTGCTTGCAGTTATCAAAATCAGGTTGTTTATAGTTGGAGATTACTAGGACAACTGACCATCAACCAAGTACACATCAACCACATTCATGGAATTAAATCATTTTTGTGGTTCTGTGTATGAACATTTCAAGAGCCAGATGTGATGAGCTCACTGTTTTATGATTTGTCCGGTTTGTATTTGACAAAACAAGATATAAACTTTCTTCTGTTTCCACTCTAGTAAATATTCAATGAAATGTCACGAAACAAACAGTTAATAAGTCACTTTACCTTGCAGGGTGCCATGTGAATGAACTCTTTGACAAACATTTAACCAAATCTTTGAAGGGCATTTAGAACTGGAATGCATAAGATAACATTTAACCAATAAAGTAAAAGCATAACTTGATCTTACATTTTCTTTAGAAAGTAACACGGTACAAATAATTGTAACAACTCTCAACTAACTTTACGACTTATCAAAACAACAAGTTGAAATAGCTTGCCAAAGTTTTACATGTTGCCTTACATAGCCAATAACTAACATACGTAACATACAATAAAGACTTTGAAAGACTCAATGAAGATGGACTATGATCATCAAAGTTTGTCCTCAGGTTTACAATATCCCCTTGTTATGAAGTTCAGAATTAAACTTGGCATATGCACCCAAAGTACTCTGTCCCGATACAGACCTCTTACAGGCTTTTATTGCTTCTGGGGTCAAGTCATTGTTTTGCCTTAACTTGAGGAGAGTGATGACGGTCCAATGCAGGTTCAAGTTGGTTGCATTGCCCGTATATGAAATATTGGCATTGTATATCACACATACTGTTTTTTATGGTAAACTTTGTGCACCCCAGCTTCATAGTAAACTTAAATTATTTTCCAGTAGGAGACTTTCCCAGGCGGGTTCCCTAACTCGCGTTTAGCAAAATGCAGGGCACAACTTAGCATGAAAGCGGTTCAATGTTTCTGATTGTCTGTGATCGCAAACATAGTTTAGCCTTATCCAATTGTATTTGGCGTATTCATTGTATTTGAATATTTTATTCATAAATGTAAAACTAGCAAGAATTGTTATCAGGGTGGCCCAGTATTCATAATAGGTTTCATTTCTGCAAGGATACTCCCTCATTATGTTTTTCGGGCACACTGCTCTGTGACAGCCATTGTTCTGAGCTAAGTTTTGAAATTTTACATTTCATGAAGAAGTTGATGTTTGCATCTTGCAGTCATTTCCACAAGCATCAAAGTTGTTATGGTCAGTAAAGTCAACTTGTACAAGTCCATATAGTACTTAGATTAACATCTGATAAAAAGTGGCGGTGGTGGGGTAGCCTAGTGGTTAAAGCATCCGCTCGTCACGCCGAAGACCCAGGTTCGATTCCCCACATGGGTACAATGTGTGAAACCCATTTCTGGTGTCCACCTGTCGTTATGTTGCTGGAATATTGCTAAAAGCGGTGTAAAACCATACTCACTCACTCACTCACTCACTGATAAAAAGTTGGGGCCAGTAGACTTTTTGGAAGAGACTTGTTTTGTTGTTTTAGCAACTAGCTTCTCTAGCAGTAGAGGAAGTGGTTTGGCAGCACGATTCCTCCACGCCTAGGGTGTTGCAGATCTCACAGGCCATCTTCACCAATATTGATTACCTCAGGATCTTCACACCTGGCTTGTGACAGGTTTCAGTTGACTGCCCTCCACTGCACCTGGTGTTGGGCTTGGGATTTGCTGATGGGAATTAGCCAATCACATTGATGCATTTTTTTACCTGAATGACATTGTCTCCACCAAAGTTGTATTGATTTTGCTCCATAGGATGATGAGAAGGATTTGTTTTTTAAACAGGAATCAATTGAGTTTAGAATTAGCTCCATTCACAGTCATTTCAACAAACCTGGCCAGGTAATAAGTTAAATCAGTATTTGTGCAGCTAATGCAACAATTGCATGTCACTGGTGAAATGAGAAAAACACATTTAGTAAGACGGAATGGAACCAGTTGCAATTGTTTGATTAACAGTATATCTGAAGCATGGGAGCAATTACAGGCAGACCTCACCTGCAGCCACCAAACCTGTGGATCAATACGGGCATGATTCATGTTGCAAGTAATGATGTGTTTGTTGTGGAAGATATCAGTCACAGCTTGTGGTTGCCGGCAGGTGAGGGGGGCTGGCTGACTTCATTAACATACACATTTGGCCATGGAGATCGGGAATTCTCAAGTGCAGCTCAAGTAGAATTGCATTTTTTTGGTATATCAATGTTGTCTTGTTTGAATTGGAATCAA